GATCAGCTTCGACAATCTGACGCACGTGTCGAGGTCATAACTATGACGCATACGAGCTGTTGTGAGATGAGGTTATTTCACGCTCTGAGAAATTCGAGAGAAACATTTGGTGCCGTCGAGCTGGTAAGTGAGCGATGTTCAGGCTTCAGTGAGTAGGAGCGTGTCCCGACGGGTTTACTTCCAGCTCATTTATGCCTGTTGCTCACCCTCACCTTTCAATTTGCCTCTAGTTGCAAGCACTATGTAAGCACACTCACCCTAGAATGTGCACGACATCGATGAATCCACGTATTCCTCCTGCCCACAGGGGGTATCAACAGCAAAGAGGTTTTAAAAGCAGCACAACGCCGCTGTAAGGTCAGTGATCAATTAAACGTGCTGTGGTGCCATCAAAAATGTAAAAAGGACTTGATTGACATTATATTTTAACACATAGTTATCGAAATGCGAGGGTAATTAAAGCACAAAATGGATCTCTGCGTAGAATGTCTGTGGAAGATCCAGTCAAAGAAAGATGGTTATTTGAAGATGGCATTCAGTCGTGTATTAGTTTATAACTAAAATCACCACCAAAGTATTTGTAAGGCCCCTTCGTGATTTGTTGAATTTTGCAGGATAAGATTGAAATTTGCATTGGTTTAAGGGTAAATTTGTGCTTGTAACTTGCCTAAAAATGCCGTAGGTGAAATCGCTCCTTCTCTTGAGGCCACAGTAATAGCGATTCCCGTGTCAAGGAAAGGGACACTAAAGTCGATCTGCTCAGATCGATTTGGGGTAATTTTCAGTGAAGTAATTGCCATGTCTGCTTTGCGGTCCATAAGTTCTCGAACTAAGCCATTCCATCCATCTTTCTATTAAAATAAATACACTGAAATTCATAAAGACATTAACTTCACTGACTATTTTCAACTTTTTCGCTCTAGGATCTCCAAAATTGTCATTTGATCTACGATTAGTAAATATCCTACTGACTCTAAAGCAGAGCGCCATGTTCATAATGGTAATTGCAAATTATCATAGTTCCCCTGCAACCTTCACGCTGGATAACAGGCAGAAGCAGACCTTATTTCAATTGACATCCAGTGAAATGAAACGGCCATATCATCAGCTTGTCTGATTCTACGCAGCATTAAGAAGTGTGTTTAATTTGACTGCTTAGACGACATCAAGGCACCCTTTCAGATCACTCAATTCAGTATTAAAACTCCTTTAGGATATGCCTATGTCGTTACTTATGGTGTGGGTCAAATTAGTCATAACATTTCATCCAGGAATACTTTTGTCTGTCTCCAGCGATGGCATTTACTGATTAAAGGCACCAACACCCCAATTTCCTTGTTAGAAAAAGAGGACAACCCATTCCCAATCACTCAGTTCCATTGAAATGCTCCAAAAAGTGAGAGGGGAATCCTGCTGGGAAATCAACCATGATGGCTATAATAACAGATTAAATACAGCCTACAAAGTAAACAGTTGACACAATAACATTGCATGAATGTAGAAATTTCGGTATATTTTACGATGCTTAGCACAGACAAGCCAGCGGAAAGCTACTTTTATAAGCGATAAGAAGCAATAGCTCATTTTTGAGTGTGGGCTCCTCGGGCAAATCCACCTTCGAAATTCCAAGATATCTTTGTAACTTACAGTCCAGCCACCCCAGAGACGATCCTTGACTTCGTAGAGTTCAACTTCAAAGTTAAGATCCTTCATTAGCTCTATTAGGAGGTCCATGGTGAGACCGGTACAACACGCAAGTTGGCGACCTTTACGGGTCTCGGGTTTGTCATTATAAACGGTATTTTTGGCTGTCGATGACGAGGTATTTCCAAAAGCAGACTGTGAGGTCGCTGAATCCGCACGACTGTCTTCTCCCTTGATCCAACAAGGAATTGAGTTGGCGTCACAAGAACCATCCTCCTGAATTAAATATAACGAACGCCTTCAAATAGTTAAAATTTTTCATCGATTTTTGTTTATGATAAAATGAATTGGTAAACAGTAGATGCTTATGAACCCCAGACATTGCATGCATTATTTTTAATTTGCATTGAATTCTGGGCAATAAAAGGGTTTTAGTTTAAAACGTCAATGGTTAGTCAATAAGGAATAAACTTTGACAGTGGAAGCCACAGCTAAGAGCGAATTATTTGGATGCCACTGGGCACGCAATATAATACGCTGAAAGGCCGATAACATTTTGTTCACACAAAACTTTTTTCAGTGTTGAGGCTTTAAAAATATTAGGTAATTTGGCAATTAAACTTTTAGAATCAGTTCTCATAATGGTATACCCACACGTCCCGTTTTTCAAGGCATGTACTTTGCCTATATAGGAAAAACAAAAAAATTATTATACTTCGACAAATCCTAATAGGCTATCATATTTGATGGTTTGTTCAGTGACGAAATTCCCTCAGGGACACTTTCAGAGCGGAGAAAGATGCAAACTGGTCTCCAGTCAAAGGGAGAAGCAGCCACCTGCTGCAAAACATGCTGTTCTTTAAAGGACAGAGGAGAGGAGATTGTTGTTTCGGGACGCTAACAGTGATGGTGTTAAGCTTTGAGCATTTGTCGGGTTTAAAAGCTCGTCCTACTTAGCGTGAGGCTTTGATTATTGGCACTTGATGCAAGAAAGTTTGAGAACCGCCCTGGCAAAGCACCATCGATCGGGTTTCTTTAAAATTACAAAGCACCTTCTATGGGATTCTCTAAGTTTTGGGAATATCCTTGGTCTTAGGCAATACGGCTATGACTTTGAACATTCTTTGCCAAAGGAATCAAACAAGGTCTGACTGCGCATCCATCCATTCATACAGACTGCAAAAGAAACAGTAAAAAAGTGGTCATGAGTCATAAAATATCTAATGAATGGTTGGTTTCCCTGGATTTTAGACTATTACTTTCATTTCCAGATGTATAAAACTTGCTCATATTTGTAATGCACTTTAGCTATACTACCGTTAATTCAAAGGGCAATTAAAAAAACCCTATGTTTAGTTTTGAAACAGTATGTGTAAGTAGCAAAAGTGCCTGCAATGCACCATACCAAAACATGCAAAATCACTGAACAAAATATATTTACAGAGTCAGATCAGCTACTGAAGAATCAAAACCACCTCTCTTGGTACAGTAGCTAAAAGCATCGCAGCCATATTTGAGGCATGCCAGCAGCTGCACAGTAAATTGATAAAAAGATACAATGTCCTACACTTACATTCAGCAGATGGAATGTTTCAACTACCACGAGGATGATTCAGATACCATTTCTTTTGGT